GCGGCTGATGAGGAAGCATGGGTCAGGACTCCTGGCCGTGTCTACAGTGACAGAGGCACAGTTCAGGATAAGATGACTAAAATATTTTGCTAGGAAACAGAAGTGATTGCTTCAATGCTGATTCCCTTGTTTCCAGAGACGAATGGTGAAGGTAGAGTCTTCATCTGTCCTTTAAAACAAAAAAATACAGTATACTATTTCTGATACTTAAAAACTGTAAAAATTAAGGTTAAAGGATTCACTGAGGCAACAGAAAGACTTAAAAAGCAGTAGGATGTATACACCACAGCTCAGAGAAGCAGGAAGACTAAGCTTGTGTTTTGGCTTAGAAATCTTGCCCCACCAACTGAGATACTGAGAATTTTACACTCCTTTATGTAGCTCTTTAAACACAGCTTATTTGTTAAACAGAGGCATCTTAAAATCAGCTGAATAGTCCCTTAATGAGTCCTGAAGTCAAGGAGAATTAGAAATCTACAGCTACATGAAATGATGGAGAAGGCAGGAATCAGTGTGCTGAATCTCGAGGAGTCACCAGCTAACAATACTATAGCAGATCTATGTAAGCAAACACATCTAGTGACTTAATGGACAAAATTGATAGGATTAGAGTGATGCTGAGAAGCAGCTGATTGGAGTCATCTGTTTAAGAATGAAATGGCATTAAAAGTAGAAGGTCATAGGATTTAAGGATTAAGAATATTAAGTTTAGAAAAACAGCAAACTCAAAAGTCAAAGCTGCTATGCAGGGTTTTTTGGCATATTATCAATTACTGGAGCAGGAAGAGAATGGCATGTTATTGGCATAGCTATGTAGTTTGAGCCATGTACAGAGATGTGTTTGTTCTAATTGTAAAACCACTAAAGTATCTATGAATTAGACATCTTTTTAAAAGGCTCTAAATAGCTAGCCTGGGAAGGCAACGATCGTTCCCAGTCATGACACTGTCTCCAACCAACCCAACATTCCGGCACTGCCAGCCCAAGAAGGAGTGACTGGTACTTGCTATGCCATCAATTCTGATTCATGAGTGATGGGTTAAGTAAGCTACTCTTCTGTTGTTTCAAGCTACTAGAATGGGAAATAGCAGCTGAAGTGGCCCTTTTCAAGTTAAGAAACACAGTGCTGTGGACAAGACACTGATGTCTGCTCCTGCCAGGCAGACCATAAATCATCTTTAACTCAACCATCATCAGGTGCATTTCTCTTCATAGCTGCTTCACATGATCCCTGAATCAGCCAGAGGTACCACTGGAGCTTAGATTTATTTCCAGTGTAGCTGCCTCATGCTTCTCTGAAGTCAACAGGAACAAAGCTCAGCTCCTGATGGCCTTTCTGATGGTCCTTTTAGTCATTCTATTGCTCTGTTACCTAAGCCTTTTGCAGAATAAACAGCAAGCACTGAGGTAGATAAATAATGAAAAATGAGTTCTATTTAAAACACAAATGCAATTTCTGCTCATCATTATACACTCTTTATGGCTGGTACCTTTTTCCATCCCTGAAGCTGAAAATCTCAAGATATCAGTATTCACCTAATCCTTGCTTATGCTTGTATTTGCCTCATTCCATGTTGTGTTTGCCTAGATGACTTAAACATGTTGAGAATGTTGGTAGGTACACTGACTATCTTCAATATTTGTGGATGAACGATTTTTAAAGCATGTTTTAGTACCCTCCTAATTCCTATCTGAAACAGCCTCCATCTAAAAACTCTTCACTGTTTTCTCTCAATTCCTAGGCTGATTTGTAATGCAATCAGCATGAATCAAAGAGAACATATTAATTCTATGAGTGCAGTAATAAATAAACCTCAAATAATACTACAGCAAAAATATCCATGTTTACAACTTAAATTTAGTGAACATTGAGTCTGAATAATAACTGAGTAGAAAAATGGCCATATACACAGGAAAGGACAGAAGAGAGGCATTCAAGGGAAAAAGAAAAATGACTTAGAAAGCAATAAGAAGTTTAGAAAAAGAAAGCATTAACAAAAATCATTGATGCAGAAAGTCAAGGAAATAAACAGCAATTAGTGATTCAAATACCTAATTAATATTCTCATGTTACAAAAGAACACCTGCAAAGCAATGACTACTGGGTCCTTTTATAGTTATTGATCAGCAGGAGAGAAAGAAAAAGGAGAAAATTGCTATTGCCAACTACATTTTAAAAGAGTTGACAAATTGACACTAAGTGCTCCCTCACATGGTGAGTATCCACACTGACTATTAACACAGCCCATCCTTGTAGACACTTGTACTTTGTTTAATGCTTTGTGTTAGAGGTTGTAAGTCCTGGGTTTGTTCTTAATCGCACAATGGATTCTGTAAAACACAAATCAACACAATAGACTACATTTACCAAAGGGAAAGCAGCAAAGTATTTTCCTAATTTTAATTTTAAAAGTCATCAAAACTTAAGTGTATAAATGCTGACCACTTCTAAAGAGGATGAAATGTTTGCATTTATGAAGTGCATTTTTTCTTCTTTTCCTAATACTACAGAAGCTGGGTATATTGTATATTGTAGAGTGTAAAACCTTACAAGTTGCATGTAGGAGGTTTAATCCCAGGACTTTGTTTTGACCTCTGCTTTCAGACTGACTTATAAAATACTGTTGCAGTGAACTAACTAAATAAAACATGCTAGTTTTTATTACAGAACAAGGAAAATCGTACATATAGTGCAGCAAATAAACAGTATTATAACAGTTACTGTGACTTTAGCTATAACCTAAAGTTCTTTATTGACACTGAGGGGACCAAGTGCTACCTGTGTAGCAGAAAAAATGATTTATGACCCTAAAAAACATGCCAGAGCAGCATCAATTTTGCTTTATAGTGGAATATCAAACTAGAGACTACACAACCTTCTGATAAAAATGATAAAACCCCCCTTATAGAGCTGACCTCTAGAGGACTTAAGAAATATGACATGGGGGTTTCAATGTGATTTAAAGAAGTGGCATTTATTTAAAGAGAGGCAAATTATGAGAAGGCTTTATTTGGGAATGCAACACAGCTAGGTGTGTCTGGCTCCACTCATGGCAGCTTTTCACGCTGTGTTTGAAACTGTCCATCCACAGTAGGCTGCCTCACCTTCCTTTATGGTTTCCTGAAAAAATCTGTTACGATTCCACTTTGGTGCAGGAAAACGTCTATCCATAATTCAGGCAGTAGAGTCAAACAAACCCCATCTCAATTTTTCCATTCATAATGGCTGCAGTTTTTCTTCTCCTCTGAACCACAGTTGTGAGTGCTAAACAATTTCAAATGCAAGCTAAGATTCCATGAGCTATGGAAATTGAACTTTTAAGAAAAAGACTAAAGAACCTGAACTTGTTGCAACAAAAACTGAGAGAACTGACCTCATCTAAATCATTCAGGTTCAGTCAGAATCCTGTCAGAACAGTTCTTTCCATCCCCCATCTACCCCTGAGGGCAGAACAAAAATACATTGTACTTGATAATCAAATCCACTGGAAGGTGCAGCAGGATAAAGAAAGATTCATTTTTACTTTACTCTAACCTATGTCCCTCTAACTCCCTTTCCTCCCCTGCCCACAACACTTTGGGCCCCAGCCAGCTGGATTTTCATCCTCAGTTGATATCCTAAATGCATAGTTTGAAACAAGTGCATTGCGGTTGGAATTATTTCATTTATTTGTGTTCATTAGGGATTCTTATTTCTAGAACCAGCATTTTCTTCCTGAGGTTTAATTACTTGGGGTTTTAGTAAATGAAAATCCCTGTTGTTGATAAACAATAGCAAATAATGACACTGATAAGCATATTATTTAAAAGATTACATTTAACACTGTGATATCAATGTGTTTTTTTCTCTTTCCATGAACTACCTTTTCCAAGAAAGAGCCATTATTTTGACTGAAAATGAAATTAAAAAGAAAAAATTTAATGCCAGGCAATGTTAATTGATACTGTTCAGCAACCTTTATTTTCTTCGTTTGGAGTTACTCTCCTATTTAATTTAGCTGTCTTAACACAGACCTCACCCACCAGGGAAGCTCCCAACCTTTTGCAGCTGTATTTATTCTTGTCTTTTATGGACTTCTGGGTTAGCTAACAAAAAACAGTTTTCAACATCCATTTTATGTTTGTGAAGTTTCCAAATTATAGCTTAGGCCTCCTTCATTGTACAGAAGTAAAGGCTTCCTCAGAACTGTAACAAAAGCCAGCATGTAAGGAGGTGGGGCAAAGGCAGCTGCTCGCGCAAAAAAAATTGTTTTGCAGCAGTGCTGATCAGCATGTGGGTTTGGCATCTGAATTCGGTTACTCTGGAATGATGAAGGCCACCAACCTCAACAGTATTTATTGTTACCTGAGAAATAAATAAAATACTACATTTGTTCTGTGCACGGGAAATAACGCGCCCTGCAAAAAACTCTGCTTTCATAAAGTTGATTCATTGGCATATTTGATTTGTTCAGGTCAGTTTTTATAGAAATTCTTCTGATAGTACCGCTAATCAGCCAAAACAGCCTTCTCTTTTGTTTTAGTTCTGATTGGTATGAAGTTCAAACGTATTTTGGTTAAAGCAAAATAGCAACAACCTGATGACAGTCAAACAGAAAATAATGAGCTCAGCCAGCTGCCTTTTCTATCAGTTTTCCTTTGAAGCTGGAGCCTAAACTCCCATGTACTTCAAATAGGGATGGATTGTACACAAATGATATAAAACCATAAAACCAGTATCTAGTATTTTTCTTATCACTACATGCATCGAAGAACTCTGGCTTCCAGGTTAAAAGACACAAAGGCTTTTCAGGTTTTGAATCTTTTCTAAACAGACGTTCTCAACACTCCATCTATATGTGTAGAATACAATTAGTTACGCTAAAAATATATTTCTAATAACCACTTCTTAATCCTGTTTGGTAGAATGCTTACATTGTTAGATCATGATATATGTATTATAATTTTAGAGCTGTATGTATTTGTAAGTATTTCTTGTGGAATTCACTAAGCTGACTTACCATTTTTGCATTCTTCTGTGGCGTTCTGTCACATTCTGCGGGGATGTCTGTCTTTGATGCATCCTCTTTACAATCTGTCTCACTTTATAAAGCAGGAGCAGTGTTAATCACACCAGCTTTCTCCCCTGCACAAGACAGAAGTAACCACGCAAGGTGAAATTGCATCTCTCTCTATCTCTCTTGGCATGAAATGCAATGGAAAAAACACAAAATAATCACCAAGCTATAGAGCTAGCTCAGCCTTTTCCATGCTAAGTTTTACTTCAGAAAATATGGTCTTTCTTACCAATAAGAAAACTTTTAATAATAGAAATGAAAGTCCATTAAAAAAAAAAAACGCTGTTGTGCTCTGGAACTGTGTAAAAATTGATGTTTCCAGTGTATGAAAAAGCCAGTACTGCAAATGTGTTTCTGATAAATGAAATCATAGTGAATCATAAAACAATTTTAGTGGGTGATTCTGAGCCCTATGAAATGGAAAGCCCTTCAAAAACTTGTCTGAGTTTGTCTTGCAGTTGTGGTAAATATCTCCGAAACATCATTATGGTATTTTTCTTTTAGCCTTCAAAGGTTTATGATTAATATTGAGATATGATGCTGCACCAGTACAAGTACGTCAGCTTATTTGCTGTGAATTTTTATAGTCTGGTAACAAAATGGCTATCCACCTTTTCTGGTTGGGGACCTAGTACACACAAATACTGGGTTCTCAGTATTCAGTTTATTCATTAAATAGTGTAGTAGTGGCTACTGAATGGATTTTCCAGGAGTGTCCAACATTAGTTATAATGATTACACTAAATTCCATGGGAATTCTCTCTGTTATTGCAAACGAAAGAGCAGTGAGATCAGCACTGACACCGAAAATCACACTTGTCACATTTGGTGAGTACATGAGAGACGGCTGAGGTGGTCAGCTCTTTTCTTAACAGAGCTCAGGACAAATTCATTTGGATTCCGGCACGTGTCTACTTCCACTTGAGCATGTTTACTGGCCTACTGCACAAACTAGCACAATCATTCTTACTCTATATTTATATTACACTATTTGCACAGCCTTCCTATACCCGTATAAGGAAAGATGTGTGGGAGAACAAGCCCTCCCTTCTTCTATGCTGGACGCTTGGACTGACATTTATAAATCTTCAGTTTTTTAAATCAAAAAGACAGTTGTCAAATAAGCCACTGGTTACTCCCAAAGGTACTGTGGATGATAATAAATGGAAAGAATGATAAATGACTAGAGAGGTTTTGCTGGTGTGTCCATCTTGCTGTGCATTGACACAGAACAGCTATTAGCCTGGTGTAACTAGCCAATTCAGCAGGGCGTGCAGCAGCTTCGGATTTCAATAGAGAGACAAAGGCTCTAGAGAATACAAATAGGCTGCAACCACTAATTTGAATAGGAGTCTAGGCATGTGTGTAACCACTAGGAAGGGTAAAATGATGACACAGGACATTGATTAAACCTAACATTAAAATCAAGGCATTTAATTGTTGTATACGATAACGCAATAATAAGATATCACTTATATGCACTATCTGGCAGACAATGTATGGTGGTGTTTTTTGTTATTATAGGAGGAATAAAAGAAGTGCCATTATCACATTGAGTGGAAGAAAATACTTTTTTTCTGCTGATTAGTTACCCAACACGAACTTGCAAAAGGAAGAATACACACTGGGACAGAAACAAAGCTTTGAAAAGGTAAAAGGTTGTTCTCTGCATTTTCCTACCCACAACTCCAGAGAAAACAGAGAAATGCAATATTATAGTTCAAATTCAGAGAATGTTTAAAACTGTACCTAATTTACTATATCAGTGCCCATAATAGCTACGCTCTAGTAACAGAGGGGAGGTACAAGACTGTGTGTCAGCCTTCTTTTACAGAGTTATGACTGCAGTTACAGGACACAGTAAGTTGCTACGTTCACTACAGAACATAAGCAATGCTATAGTTAACCCAGCAAGGAATGTGTCCCATTGAGTTGTTAATTTAATTTTCTGGTACCTTTTCCACTTAACTGGTATAAGTGCAATAATACCTTACCTATAATCTTGAGAGCCTTGGAACTATCAGTATAGCTACGGAAACCTTTAATGAGTATCTAGAGTTTTAAAAGATATACTTGTATCACGCAGCTGTGATATGTCTGATTTTAACAAACCCTTTGATTTCTATTTTACTTCCAATTCACTTAGAAAGTGAAATAGACTTAATTTTACAATGTCATTCCAAAATGAAAAATGGATGCTTCAGTTTGAAAATGTCAGAATAATATGCTTTAAGATTTTGGGAGATGAAAACAATAATTTCACAAATTCAGCATGAATTCAGTGATAGTTTCAGTCAACTCAAACCTACTTTTCTGGTGAAAAAAAAATTCTGCCCAGCTGACCCTGCACAGCCGTGAAGTTAAGTACAGCAAAATTTATAGGCAGGACATTCAAAACTATGTAATAATAAGAAAATAAAAATATTTTTCCAGCAAGTTACCTGTCACTTAGCTCCCAGGCAAATAATAGTTTACATTTATGTGGGATCTTCACCCCAAATGCTGCACAGCAATTGCTTCATTCATGTGTGAATACAAAGTGTTAACAGATTACTAAAGTAACAGCAACACCAAAGCAGCTTTGAACAAAAAGCTGAGATGACAAGGTGAATGTTTTTCTGGGTGGAATATGATTACCTTGGAAACTGGCTGAAGATGATCAGTAAGTAAATGAATTTTGTTCTAACAGTATATTTTCTAGAGTTCTCAGGATCATGCTTGCAAATACAGTAAATAACTCCTGGGCTGCCAGGAGTGGATCAAAAAATCTTGCAACGATGTGATACAAAGAACTGATCTCATGAAAACTCACACTGTCGATGCAAATTTTCGACAGGTTAACTTTGTAGTAGCTGACTTTTTATACCAGATCAGCTCTCTAATTCCGTGCAGGATCAGGTATTGTCCCTCCCCTCACAACCGACATAAAGCTGACACAGACTCCATATTGCATGATGTGATCTGTTAGTGCACAGATTTTACTGAATGTGGAAAGAAGGTCTGGCTATTGAAAGTCCCTGTTCCAGCACAGCACTCATGAGTCTGCAATACTGAATTGTTTGCAGTTCATTAGTAATCTGCAAATCTGCACGCTGAAATAAAAAGCAGTCACTTTATTGTGGTAAGTGCTATTCTGGTCAACGCAGAATCTATAGCTGTTGGGATGTGTGCCATGAGCTCTTAGCTGGAGACTGCTTCCTTAACCACCTAAAAGAGAATTTCTAGAAGCTGTCAAAAATGACAACTCTTTTACTCTCTCCAGATGCTGAGGAAACAAGATCCATACAGATCCATGCTGGCCAGCAATCAGAATAGTAATTTTGACTGCCTGAAAGTTTGAAAAGTCTCTTTACTAGGTAAATTATAATATGACTCTACAGCCCAAGCCTGGCCTCATGAATAGGTGTGAAGTGAGTGTACTTGAAATGCCAGTTAAAGTGTAATGCAGCCTATCAAGTTTGACTAAGTGAGAAAAAAAAGAACACTTTTTTCTAGCAGTCTGTCTATGCTTAGAGCTGTGCAAACCAAATGACAGATTTTCTTTCGGGACAATTCAGTTACAATTGTGCAGAAAGTTCTGACTACTCTTAGTTTGAATAGGGTTTAGCTCAATTTAGTGTAAGCTCAGGAGGTTAAGCGACACTGAAATACAGTGGACTATTGCATTATAATTATTTGTAATGTACACTTTGGCACACTTTCTTTAAATCTAGAGCAGGAAGCCAAACAAAAGTGGACAAGGGAGAAAATTCTAGGCAATTACAACAATGGCTCTTTTTTTATCAACATCAAGCATGGATACATATAGAGAACTTGTTCCTTCTGACCAGTCCTCACAGAGCAATTCCACTTCAGGTCTTCGCTTTAACTGGGGTCTAGCACAAAGCACAAACCCTCCTGAGGCTTGTAAACTTCTCTTTCAACTAGAACTACTTGTCCACAGATCCCTTCACAACAGCCAAAATAATTACCATAGCATGTCTTCCCAAGTGTCAAAACTTGCTTGCCTGCCAAGATAAAAAATTCAGAAGATTGTGAAGTGATATAACCTGGGGATACCTGCTGTAATGATGTATTTTAAGCACTGTTACGTACAGCTCTGCTACTGACTTGAATTCGGGGTATATCAGTAGTTGGGTGAAGTGACTGGTTTCTTCAGATTAATACCAACCCCACACAGGAGTCAGGACTGATCTGACCAGCCTGGCATAGCTTTCAAAAAGAAGACTGCTATTCTGTTAGTGGGGTTTTACTTTTTAGGTGAAATTATTAGAAAACCTGGCAAAACTAACAGCACCAGAAACTGGAAGTCCCCATCTCTCTTGGGATCAGCCAGCAGTGTTAGAAGCATGCAAGCTCAGGGCCTAGCCTCACACTGCCGCTTCCCCTGTGCAAATAGTCCCCACACTCCCCAGGAGGGAGCAGAGCAGCCAGGCAGTTCTTGGCCTTTCTGCTAGGCACGTTGCTAGCTAGTGGCCTAATGATACTGGCCTACAGAAATTGGATTGGCACCACTACTTCTGCATAGGACAGGCACAGCCATCACTTTTGGTGAGTAACAACCTGGTTAAGATTTGTATAACAAAAGTTAGTCTCCAAGTATTGCATATATATATATATACACATATATATATAGTCCGTATATTATCCAGTCCATTAAATGAACAGGCCCACGTTCTGATCACAGTTCCCTGTTGGTAAGCCTGGCATTACTCCAGAATTACAGCAGACTAAATGAGATAAAGTCTTTGGCCCATTGCTTTCAGTTTTTAGCAATCCTTTAAAATCACGAGGTTTTGCTGCAGTTTTTCCTTTTTTGGTTGAGGAACTCTTCCAGATGGCCAGCAGCATGGCTTTTCTTTGTGTCTGGGATCTAACCTGGCTTTTTGATGCTACAACAAACAAGACACATACCATTAAGTCCTTTGTTTTGGAACAGCCCCTCTGCTGTCATTGACTGAGGTCGCAAACTGATGATGTGCAGTGCATCCATTTTCTCCTTCTCTTTTTTAGAGCAGAAATGGAAGTTCAGTAACCTTTCGGGAATTTGCACTTATATTTTTGCATAGTTATTTTTAATGCTTGTATATTCCAAAGAGTACACAGAGCGCTTCAGCTGGGGCTTTTGAGGAAACATTTTCACACTTTTATATTTTTTTGCCAAGTTTTAGCACCTTCTGGGAATAATTTGCTTTATAGTATGAGATCACAAATGAAACCACCCTTTTTTATAGACTACTGGACTCCCTTTTTTTGATATAACAGTTTTGGAGGAAAGAGGAACGATCCTGTTAACATCTCCCTCCAAAGCACCACAAGATTCAGGCATTCTCATTCCACAGTCTTCTCTTGGCCACTCTTACATAATTGCTGCTACAATTTGAATTAAATTAAAAGCTTCTAATTGATCATGCTTCCAAATGTTTCTGAAATGACATTCTTTCTCAGATATACTTAGACATCTGTTGTCCTAAAC